GTTTTGTGAAAACTTTTCTTATGCATAATCCACTACCCCCACGCTTTCGCATCCGAATTTGATTCGGAAACCAACACTTATGAAGCAACAATCAAAATACACGTTAAAACTCATATTTATTTTATATTTGGATAAAAAGAAAAGGAAAAAGGAAATATACGTCACATAAAATTAGTGCTGTAACTTTGGACGGGTCGCCCGCGACCATCAAAAATTCTGAATTTTTACCCGATGACCGAGCCCGCCTAAGCCCAAAATTTTCGGCTGCCCGACCCAACCCGAGCAAGACCCTGGATGGGCTTCAGGCAAGTTTTGGCTGCCCGAGCCCAGTCAGGCAGCCTGAAACTGCCCGAGGTGTCTGAAGTATTTTTTTTAATATTTTTTATATATTTATATACTATTATATATATTATATATAATTTTGTTTATTAATTGTATATAGTATGTATATAAATAATTTTTAAGTTATTTATTGTAAAAATTATACAAAAATTATAAGGGAGATTGTAATTTGAAATTTGAAATGAACACAAACTATATAAAAAAATTATTTATTTATTAATTTTTAAATTTGTAATTCATAATTGTCTCGTTAAAAATCTTGCCAAGAAAAAGTCAATTGGGATAAAAACTTGGTAAGAAAAAAAGAGTGCAATCATTGTGGAACAAATTACAAATTTGACGAACTTACAAAGTCTATGCAAGATTACAATAACACTGTACAAAGTAAATACATATTTACAAATTACAATAATAGAATTTAATTTGAAGCTGAAGGATTGTCTTTAAAATTAAAAGTTAATCTATTAAATTCATCGATCCATTCTTAACTTGTCGGCGAAATTGTATCATGTAAGCATTGGTCGGAACAATCCCAATCCTTAATGCACACTAAAGCTTCATCAATGTCCTGTTACAATGCGTTTCTACGTTTCTCTAGTCTTCGGCCGATTGTACTGAAAGCTTGGTTGGATGAAACAGTGGAGACTGGGATCGAAAAAATATCCATTGCCAGTCGAGTTAGGATCGGCCAAGTTCGGCCGGTCGTACTGAAGGTTTGTTCGGATCAAATAGTGGAGACTGGGATCGAAAAAATATCCATTGCTAGTCGAGTTAGGATCGGCCAAGTTAATGCTCGTGCCGTCAACCACTGAACCAAATCAAACATTTCACTATTGTCGACTACTAAGTCCTCACTCAGGTACGCCATTAACTCGTTGAAGCCGCCGCTGTTGCCTCAACCTCTTAATGAAGATCCACTCCCAGATTCTTCTTGACCTTACGTCATCGTTGTCATCATCTTCTTCTTCTTCTTCAACCTGAAAATATTCAAGAATGAATGCGGATTGACATCTCGTTGTTGCGGTTGTTCTACACGAGGTGTGTTTCTAAACCTACTTTCATAAGAGCTATAGAGAGATAATATTTTTTCCTTTATAATAGGAAATTGGTCAGAATAGTCAATATCTAAAAAGTCACATAAGTTTTCTAATTCACTTTCTAAGCCTTCTAATTTTAATCTATGATAAAAAAATAACACCGAAACCATACAACATTAGTAATTTAGCCCAATATTTTTTAAACTTGTTTTGCATAGAAGCGATAGGCACTCCTAAAACCTCATGTGTCCTAAATTCACTAAATAAAATAGTCATTCTTAAAAGTTCTCCTAACGCTAATGGTGACGTTGGGTAATATGTTCCACTAAGCTTTAAAATAACATCGTGAAATCTACCTAAAAAGTTATACAAAAGTTCGGCAATTTGTCAATCAGTTTGGTTTATAAATCCTGGTCCTAATTTTGCACTAACATAGTTTGTTATAACATCTTTAAAGGGGATGCATTGTTCAAGCATTATATAAGTGGAGTTCTATCTTACGGGCATATCTAAAGCTAACGTTCTAGGATTTTGATTACATGCTTGTAGAAACCTAAACCAATCTTGTATTATTTGATTACTACCTTGAATTTATGCAATGTTATCTCTAATTCTTTTAATATGACCTGACATTGATTTTAAACCGGATTTTACTATTAAATTAATTTCATGGCATGCACAACATTGGTGAAATATATCATTATTACTTAATAAACTTAAATCCTTTTCAAAAAGTTCTATTGCTTTAGTATTTGCAGTAGCATTATCTAATGTTATAGCCGTTACTCTATCCCTTAAACTATATTCATCAACAACAGATAAAATTGTATTATATATTAAATCGACAGTATGTGATCCTAGAACACATTTAAAACCTAATATTCTCTTATCTAAATCAAAACCTTTAAAATAATGTCCGGTTACAGCTAAATAATCTTTGTTGGCAACGGCGAACTAAATATCTGCCGTTAACGCAACGAAACCACTAGTAGAGTGTAAAAAATTGATTAATGCTTCCTTTTCTTATTTTGTATAATTTTAATGAATCTTTCCTAAGAGTAGTTCTTGAAAAAAATTGTGCATTAGGATTATGTACAATTTTAATAAAACGCTGTCAATTCCTTTGTTTGGTAAAACTAAGTGGCTGATCTAATGTGGCTATTAATCATGTCATTTCCATACGATCGACTTGCGGATCGTATTTCCAAGTGTTTAGACCGCCGGTTTGACAGTCAAATGATAATTGTGTTTGGCGGAGATCGGGTCCGCCTCTTTACTTTTGAAGACACTTTTCGGAGTGTCTTCTCAAGTGTGTTGTGCCATGAATAGTGTTACCTTGTAATTTATCACTACAATATTTGCATTGAGTTGTGTATTTAATGTTACTGTTATTGTCGACCTCCTCAAATGTGTTGAAGTGCGCCCAAACTGTTGAGGTGCGCTTGCATTTCTTCTTGAAACTTGCAACACTTACACTAGTACTTCCGCTTGCCTTTACTCCACGCCCACCACCATTACGACCACGAGGTCCACGACCTCTAGTATGTCCACCACGGCTCGGATTTGCAGATTCCTCAGCAGCTCTTTCTGGTGTTTGTGATTCCTGCGTTTGAAAAACATTAATAGGAAATTGCCCTTCTTCAGTGTTGAATTGGACATCAACGGGAATATCACCACCATAACCGGAAGAATCCATTATGAAAAATAAAAGAGATCAATAGCGTTTTGAGAGAGATCAAGAGCGCTTTGAGAGAGATTAAGAGAGATTTGTGAGAGATAAAGAGAGATTTGAGAGAAATTGAGAGAAATTAAGAGAGGATGAGAGTTTTTGGGTGAGGAAAATGGTTGGGGGAGGGGGGTATTTATAGAGAATTTTTTGGATTGAAAAATTTTTTTTTCCCTCAAAAATTCGGCTCCAACGGTAACTTAATTTCGGCGGGTCGGGTCGGGCTTCGGGTATCTTGGGCAGGAGTCGGACAAAACGGGCGGCAGGTTAGGTCGGGCAGAAATAGCTGTTTCATTCAAAAATTCAGGCACAAATTGAGCTAACTGTCAAAAAATTATTTGGATCGGGTTGGGCATAAAATTAAAAAAACTAGCCCTTTTTTTGGGTATTCGGGCAAAAATTCGAGCTTCGGGTACGGTGGAAAAATAAATAAAAAAAGGCGGCCGGCGGTCACGGCCCCCCCACCGGTGGTGGGCTACGGGGAATTTTTTTCCTCGGCCTATCTGAGCACAAACCCAAGAAATTTACGTGGACGGGCGGCAATAAGTGCCTGCCCGCTGAACCCGAAAATTTTCAAGCTTCAGGCATGCTCGCCGCCCGAAGTTCCACCGCTGCATAAAATAAACATGTACCTGAGAATTGGCTCCTAGATGGGTCACATATATATATATATATCATATATACGTCTATGTACACAATAAAGGAGGTTCTTTTTCTTTTTATCGTGTACTTATTAGCCCATTATTTTTAGGGCTGTTCATGGATTGGGTTGGTGCGGGGTAGGATTTTTTTTCCCCGCCCCAATGGGTGCGGGTTGCACATATTTAGCCCCAACGATGCTAGAAAAATTTCACAACCCAACGATGTTCGGGTTGGATTGGGGCGGTGCGGGGTGGGTTGGGTGGTCGGTTTTAACATTCAAAAAATTAAAGACTTAAAGTTCAATATAATATTCAAATTTCATCATTAAATATAAATAGCAACCATCTTTATCAGTCCATCTAACATCAAACATGAAACAAAATAGTCCATCCAACATCAAATACAAAGCAAACATAAATTAGTCTACATTTATAAATTAGTCTTAACATAAAACAAATAGCTTAAGCAAAGCAAACATAGAGGCTTAAATCTTAATTCAAATACATCCAAAGCAAGCATTGCAACATCAACCATCTTTATCAATCCATACTCATAGGCTCCTCAATGGTTGTAGTAGGACATGAAGTTGAGTTATCTACAAGAGAAATGAAAATAGCTTAAGTAATAATTTAGATAGTTTAGAGTTCATATAATAAAATAGATTAAGATACATACAAATTATTGTCTTACCTAGAGATGTCTTACATAATGTCAGAGAGCCTAGGGTAGAACTTGGGCAGGTTGGGCTTAGGCCGAAAGCTTGGTGGTATGTTGTGCGGGTTGGGTTGGGGATTGCGGGTTGTTATGGGCCCAACCCGCAATCCGCCTAAAACACTTCGGGCCAGAGGTATAATGGGCCGGAAATTTAAAAATAATGCTGCGGGTTGCTTTTTTCGACTTGGGTTAGGACGGGATGGGTTGGGTTTGCGGGTTGTTCGGGTTTATGAACAACTCTAATTATTTTTCTTATTTTTTCTTTTGCTTGAATTCAAGTATTTAACCTTGGCACTTACCTGGAAATTTAAAGAGAAATTAAAACCCAAAATTTGCAAAATAAAAGAAAAAAAACCCACTGAAAAAGGTACAATAAATAAGTGAGAAATTTCACTCAAAAAGGTTTTTTTTTTTTCATTTTATTTTTTCCTCAAACGTTTTACAGTTTCATCACCACCACCACCACATGAAAAAAAAAAATAAAAAGCTATCACAAGAAAATAACTTTTTTTCCAAGTCCTCTCTCTCTCTCTCTCTCTCTCTCTCTTCCTTCTTCCCTCTGAGTCGTCTTCCCTTGGGTTGCCACGCGGAGACAGAGAGGACGAACCCCATACCCACTCCATGTCAGACGACAACATTAGACGGACGAGAAGCACACAGTAGTATTCTTCTTCTCTCTTTCTCTCTCCTCTTTTGAAGCTTCGTCGGCATCAGGTTAGCTTGAATCATATTTCTGCTCTTTGCTTTCGGTTCATGCTTTCAATCGGCCACTTGGGTTTCCTTCTTTCATTGTTTTATTTATTCTTTTTTTTTGTTTCGAATTGTTCTTTGGCTGTTTTTGTGATTTCCCATGGTTTAGTTGATGAATGAATGCTTTTTTTGCTCTGATGTGGTTTTGAGTTGTTGTGTTTGGGACGACGGAAATGGCGAGAAAGCCGCTGAATTTTGATTGTTTTTCGAGGGGTTCGATTGAAATATGAGGTGGGTTTCTGCTGAAATTTCGGAATTTGAATTTTTCTGATTCAAGAATAGGGTTGTCTGGGCTAATCAAGGTGTAATTGCTCAAAAGGAACTTCTTTTGAGTTTTAGTTGCTCAGTCTTGTGTTTTCGGATAAAAATGGTTTTCTTGTTTGTTTGGTTCATTATCAGGTTCAAAAATTGGTGCTTTCGAAATGCTAGAAGAAATTTATTTTGCTTTTTAGTTGAACTGAGTCCAAATATGACTCTTCTATCTAACAAAATGTCGACCTAGAAGTTGACTTTGATTGCAAATATTCGCAAAGGCAATTTCATATACTTGGAATTCTCGTTCCTAAAGTTTACATGGGTAGTTCCTTATATTAAAATTCTGTGGTAAATGTTGGTAACTTGGTGATAAGAATATTGGGTTTCACTACTGAGGCCTAGTACATGAAGTGTGTTGAGGGTTGGGATATAAAGAGTTTGTATCTTTGATCTAGTGAAGGCCAACTTTTTAGGAATATTTGGATCAACCAAATAATTTTCATTTACTCTGGAGCAATGATCTTTATTCTTCAGAATGCTTTTTCAAGTTCGTTTAGCCGATCTCTTTTTGTTGTCAGACTTCGGGTTTCTCCTTAATCCTACTTTCCTATACTAAATTATTTAATGCCCTGTATACAGGTGGATATTTGATGATAAATCAATCATTTCCAGGTTGCTGAAAGTAAGCCTCAGTAGCTTCCCAAACAACTAGAGGCGAGGTATAATATTTTTATCGACATCTTTATATATAGGAGCATCCTAATGATTTCTTTTATGAATCTTTACATTTCTTCTACATTTTCCTATCACTGGATACCAGAAAGAAACAGTTGGTTGATTGTTATTTTCGGTCAAGTTGACTTCATTTCAATAAAATCAATACTCGAATATTCTTCTCATTCTCCTATTGTTCTTCTCAGGTATAAGGCTGGTCTGAGAAAGGATGGCAAGTTGTGGTACTGATCATATTCCTGAACATGATGCGGTCGAAGGATCTGAAGCCACCATTGAGATTAAAATAAAAACATTGGATTCACAAACCTATACTTTAAGAGTTGATAAACAGGTTACATCTTTAATGCCATTTCATATAATTCACACAAAAATCTAGCTTTAATTCATTTGGTTGATCATCTGCAGACACATTATTTCAGTGTATTAAAGACTAACGACTGGACATCTGCACCTATCTTTAACGAGTAGGGATGGGGGTTGGGGGTTTGGGTTTGGGGGCATAAATGAAAAAAGATTTAACAATTCATTCAATGTGGTCCTTCTTCATTATCTGGAAGTGACGTTCACGTGCAGTTCTAGTTTATTTGTGTTGTTATGCTTGTGGAAGTTTCAAATGGATTTTTAAGGTTAAGTATTTAGTTGTAACTAAAATGATTATTAAAGGCATCATACGCATGCAAGTTTTGAAGCTTCATCATGTAAATTTTTGGGGTTCTCTTAACATCTTGCAGATGCCAGTTCCTGCTTTAAAAGAGCAGATTGCTTCTGTCACCGGCGTGTTATCAGAGCAACAAAGACTCATATGTCGTGGGAAAGTCCTAAAGGATGATCAACTTCTCTCTGCCTACCGTATCCTTATTTTTAGGAGTTTCCGCTCATAGATGAATTTGGAGTTTTGTATATTTTTTTCCTATTTGTATCTTTTATTATAATTTTTATAATTTATTTTTTTATTATTGTTCTTAATTGGAAAGTGTGATGGGATGATGATTTTTTTGTTTCTTTTTAACTCTTTTTGCTTTCTGTTTTCTTAGTGTTTGTTTTTTCTTGTTTTTTTCTTCTGAGGAGACCTTATCCTTTGTACTCGATTCTTTATCAATGAAACAAAATTTTTCTTATTTAAAAAAAAAAAGGAGATAGTTCATGATGGAATCATTTAAGTTTTGTAGCTAATAGCTTTGTTGCTTTCTTTTTCTAACTTTATGCATTTGTATGTCCTTTATGGCCAGTTCTTTTCCTTGTCGCAGTTAAGAAAGTTGTTATACTGGTCTCTTAGAAAAGAAGTCCTGCTTAACCCTACATCATGGTGTTGGCATCCGTATATGAGTGTGTCAGTGTCCTCTTTTTCTTTTTCTTCCATTTTTTTTTCTTGTTTACCATAAGCGTTTGTGGTAGGTTTCTCACTTAACAATAATTAGATGTTGAAGATGGTCATACCTTGCACATGGTTGTAAGACAAGCTATTCCACCATCAGTTGAGGGTTTACCAAGTCATTCAGGTTGATGTGACTAAATATTGTTATTTTTTGCATTTCTAAAATTATTGCATGGCTAGTTTTATTAAGCTAGATATGAAATAGGCCCACTTCTAGGTAGCTCTAGATTAGACGTTCCTTAGTGCTTGACTTCTTGTCACATGCAAGGGACCAATTTTGTCTAGGATTCAGTTGGGTATTACTTATTATTTAGTTTTGAGGTTAATTATCATTCTTGGCTTGCGTATTTAGTATTAGGTTATAAGGATGAAGCCTCTTACTTGCTGTATCTTTTCTTCCTGACTCCCTTTCTGTGTTGCTGTACCTTTTAACATGATGTATGAACCGTCTTTTCTATTAATCCCGACCTTGTTACTGATCTCTTAGGGCCTTTTGGAGGATTAATTCGTGCTGGGCATATATGTATGTGTGCGTGTGTGTGAAATTAATTCCATTGAAGCTTCAATGTACATAAAATGAAAAAAAAAAAAAATGACGAATCGTCATGAGCCCAATAGATGCTGTCATGTTCTTTATTTTTAAATGAATATCCTAAACCTATTAGCATGCAATTATAGCCACTAATTTCTTAATAGTACATAGGTTCGTCATATTATCCTAAAAGGTAAATTTAAGATAGAAAAAAACTGCCTGTTACTTAAACAAAGAATATTGGTTGCTTATCATTTTTTTTTTCCCAGAAGGCTTATAATTTTGTTAGATCTTATATGAGCGTTTACTAATAAACATAACCATTTGCTGCATTGACTGACAAAATATAACCAATTGCAGTAACTGATCCCGCTTCAACTACAAGCCGTGGAGTTGGACACAGCCATCAGGTAGCGCCTGGTGTTGTAATTGAAACTTTTAGTCTGCCTGTCCAAGGGGAGGGAGCTCCTCCAGAAATCAGTCGGGTGAGGGTGCTTCTTAGTACAATAAAAAAATCTTAGACAGTTGACCTCTAAAAGATATTTGGGTCTTACTGGTGCAATTATATCCGACGATAATGGTTCTCTCTCATTTTTGCTTCTGAGCAGATTGTCTCAGCTGTTCTTGGTTCTATGGGGATTTCAAGTTTTGGGAGTGGCAATGAAGGGATCGACAATAGGGTAAATCTTAAACTCCATAAGCTAATCACGGTGTGGTTGTCAGAGATCGTATATACAATAATGATACACTCTCTCTAACACAAACGTTCGTGTATATGACCGCACACACACACACACACACACACACATAGGTGATAGCTTGAAGTACCCATCCTAGAGAAATATCAAAGTCACGGCTTACTTGAGAAACTATTGGTTCTACCTTAAAGGTCTAGGAAAGTATTCTGGTCATGCTTTGACTTTTTAAGTTGTACAAGATCTGAAGGGTATGTATGCCCCCTAGGCGGATGCATATGCACAATTGTCAAATCTGATTTTGACTTCTAAAGTTTAATCTACTTTTTGGTGTGGTGCTGGTTATTAAAGGAACATGGCTCCCAAAGACCTCAAAGAACATCAGGTTCTAGTAGTTTGTTAGACTCGACAGTCCACCTTCAATCTGAACGAATTGGTGTGAGGGCTCCATCTGATAGACCAAATGGTGCGGGTGGGCACTCATCGGCATTTTCTTTGGGACCTCTATCGCCTCATGTGAGTTTTAATTTTTCTTGTTTGCTTTGTTCCCATCACTTTTTCCTGGATTTAACCCTTTTTCTTAACTTTGACAATCCTTATGGATTTTAGCTCTATTTGATTCAGCTATTCTTCTATCCTTGTCTTTATAGGTGATTCCTGATTCCTTGACAACTTTGGCCCAATACTTGAGCAATATGAGACGTGAATTTGATGCCATTGGTTAGATTTCTAACCTAGAAAATTCTCGTAATGTAATAACTACTTTTGAGACTATGACGCTAATTGATTGAATGGTTTCGGCACTGTACCGACAGGCAGAGATGGGGGAAACAGTGGTCGAGCTGGGGCATCACAAGGGTCTGAAGAAAGGAGTTCTCAGTTTGCAGCAGGAACAAGACAAGGATTCCCCACACCTGCTTCCCTGGCAGAAGTCGTGCTTTCTGCGAGACAACTGCTTACTGAACAGGCTGCAGAAACTCTGCTCGTGCATTCTCAACTCTTGCTTTATCATTATTACTTTTCCTTTTCCTGTGGATGCAATTTTGTAGTTGAGTTTCTAGTTTTAAGTAACTTGCTGGTCACCTGATATTATCAGAAATGAATCCTTGGCTGAAGAATCTCTCTGCACTCTCCCTCCCTCTCCCCTTTTGATAAAATTATTATCGGCCCATATAGAAATCCTTGGAAAGCCATTTCTCAGGGTCTGCACACCTTTGCCAAAACATTTCTTGGAGAGTGGGGGCAGGAAATAGGGTGAGGTTTTGGAAAGATTTGTGGCGTGAGAACTCTACCTTTGAATCTTTCTTCCCTAGGCTATTTAGACTCTCCGATGTTCCTAATGCACTTGTCGTTGATATCATATCTAGGGACAGCTCCAATGGTCTAAACTGGGACTTTGGGTTTAGAAGAGCTCTCAATGATAGGGATAATGAGCAAATTCATGGTTTACTTCATTTGATCATCTCTTTCTCACCAAACCCATCTTTACCAGATCGTAGGGTGTGGGTGAATGATGCTAGGGCTTCTCATGTCAATCTTTTTTCACTTCCCTTGTAGACAAACCTGGAATTCCAAAATTTGAGCCTTATTGGAAACCCTGTGTTCCCTATAGGATTAAAGTTTTTGCATGGCTGGTTTTTCATGGTAAAATTAATACTTGTGATACGGTTTAGAGGAGGAACCCGCATCAGGTTCTTCCATCTTGGTGTGTACTGTGTAAAAAGGAAAGTGAATCCATTGATCTCCTTTCATTTCATTGTGAAGTGGCGAGTGCTCTTTGGAAGAACCTTTTGCAGGAGGCTGGCTTTGTTTGGGCATTTCTGAAACATTGTAAATCACTGCTGGTTGAGAGAATGGAAGGATTCGGTTCCAATAGAATGGCTAGAGTTTTATGGAGAAGTATGATGCTTTCGCTGCTATGGTCAATTTGGATGGAAAGAAATTCTAGAATCCTTGAGGAGAAGGAATCGGGGATTTCGATACATGTGAAAGGGCTAAATTCTCGGCTTCTCTCTGGGCTTCAACGGACAAATCATTTAAGGATTTCCCGTTTTTGTTAATCATTTTAAATTGGAAGGATGTTGTAGGAAGATAGTTTAGTTTAATTATGCTGTTTTTGTAGAGCAGGACTTTGCTCTTCGTTTTCCTTCTTCTTTCTTTTTCTTTTTTTTTTTTCCTTTTAGGATCTCTCTTCCGCTTTTTCTTGTAACTGATTCATCATCAATGAAGAGGCTTTTTCTTATCAAAATTATAGTTTTAACGTACTTCTTAGGTTGCATCTGTTTATTTCTTGTGCTAATATAAAAAACATCTTGACTCTCCATGTTACAGCAACTTGCGAGACAGTTGGAGAATCAAGTGAATGTGACAGATTCCTCCACAAGGACGAGCATTCAAGCTAGTGCATTGAGAACCGGAGCATTGTTCCATAATCTAGGTTCATTTTTACTTGAACTTGGTCGTACGATCATGACACTGCGATTGGGTCAAACTCCAGTGAGATTTTCCTGAATCCTTTTTTTTTTTTTTTTTTTTAAAAAAGAAGCAAGAATCGTGTGTTTCTTTTCATGTAATCCTGTCAATTATATTTTTTTTTATTTTAAAAAGAAGCAAGAATCGTGTGTTTCTTTTCATGTAATCCTGTCAATTATGATGTTAGCTGACCTGTAGCTTTCTATTACTCATCATTCTATATAGTCCGAAGCCGTGGTAAATGCTGGACCTGCAGTTTTTATATCCCCAACTGGTCCTAATCCCATCATGGTTCAGGTAATCATATTGTAAAGATCTTTATCAATCACTTATGTTTGATATGGAAATAATTATGCTAATTCAACCATGTTCCTCTAGCCTCTTCCTTTTCAAGTTGGTTCAAGCTTTGGCTCCGTCCCCATGGGATCTGTGCATGCAGCCTCTGGTCTGCTCAACGGACTTGGAACCGGGTTTCTTCCAAGGCGTATTGATATACAAATACGAAGAGGTAGGGGTATCTTGTAACATCCTCTGGCCATTGCCTCCCATTCTGTTTTATGTTGTGGATATGGGCTAATTGGTTAAGAATTGCTTGTTTGTTCAAATTGACAGGTTCACCAACTGCTACTGCCAATGTGAATAATGAGGAACATGGCAATACCCAGCAACCTTCTGCGCAAAGAAATTCAGCAACAAGTTCTGGCAGTGAAAATCCTGCTAATCAAGGAACTCAACGGGCCTCAGATGGAGCTTTTGCTGGAGACTCAGGTGTGAGGGTATTACCACTCAGGACCATGGTTGCAACAATGCCGAGTTCCTTTGGTCGCCTATCTTCAGATTCATCAGGTAATTCAGTGGGCTTATACTATCCTGTTCTTGGAAGATTTCAACATGTTGCTTCTGGGCATGCGAGTGCTGAGAGAGGAATGCAAGCATCTAGTGAGCAAAATTCTGCACATCAGCCTTCAGATTCTACAGCACAGCAACGACCTTCAGGAGATCCTGCAAGAGATGGTAATGTACAGTTCGAGGTGGTGATGTAAATTAATTGCTCCATTGAAATTTAACTTTGTGGTTATGAACATCTGTTATGGTAGCATAAATCATGACATATGTTATAGGTGTGATTGTTAAGTTTGTTTTGGAAGTGGTGCTTTTTCCTTTCTATGGTATTTTTTTATTACTACTATTGTATGTCTTTTACAAATCTTTTTTTTTTATAAGAAAAAACACCTTTATTGATGAAAATCAATTACATGTCTTTTAGAAATCTTTTAATTCACTTTTTTTTTTCTTAATTAAACCAAGTAATTGATTTGCTTTTAGTTTTCTTAGCTTCAAAGGGTCAGCTATTTTAGTCCATAGAATATGCTTGTTTTATACAAGCTACAGTTTTTGTCGATTCTTTCTTTGCATGGGATTATTCTCTGCAGTCTGCTCTTCTTTGTTGTTACTCTTATTCTTATAGTTTATAATTATTCTGTGTATTCTGCTTACTGCTTATTGAATACTTGGCTTCTTCTTCAAGAGTTTATTCTGCTTACTGCTTACTGAATATTCGGCTTCTAGTCAGTTCATCGAATGTGATTTTCTGGTCTTTTAGTTGTCAGTAGCTCGTCTTAGTCATTATCTTGGAAATGATGTGATGTTTTTTTAAGCCTCTTTGTCTTTGTTTATTTAATTTTTTTTCTCCAAATTGATTTTAAGTTGCTTCCTGAAATTGAATACTCCATTGTTATTTCTTGCAGGATCGTTGCCAACTCCCAACATAAGACAGCACGAGCCAGTGAATGCACGCAGTGTTAGCATCAACATTCTTTCTGCTGGCGGAATGCAAAACCCTGAATCTGATAGACAGATCCCTAGCAGTGTTATGCAGTTTATAAGAAGCCTCTTTCCTGGAGGTGAAATACATGTAGAAGATGGCAGTTCGGAGGGAACAGCTGCCGGTTCTCACCCAGATCAGGCAAGGACATCTGGTAGTGCTGAGGGTGGATCTGAAGCGGAGCCGAGGGCAAGTGAAGGAATATTTTTTTCTAATCTTCTTCATCAACTTATGCCTTTAATATCCCGACAAGCTGGTTCCGAGTCGGACATTGCACCTGCAGAGCAGGCTAATGCCTCTGAGGTTAGCATTCTTGCTGTTTACTATTGGTGGAGGCTTTTATGCCTCTTCATCTCACTAAAAGATCCTTGGACCACAAGTCTTGTCAACACCTGCAGCTGCACATGTATTATGTAAAAGGAAGATAACAGATATATATATATATATATGTATATATATGCGTGTATTTTCAGGCTGAGAACTCTAATGTTGGGACATCACATCAAGGTGAGAGTTCTAGTGCCGGGACTTCACGGCGACAGGGTGACTGTGAATCAGGCTCCCCAAGTTCTAAACGTCGAAAGGTGCCTACCGTGGAAATTTTGCTGTCTTCTTTAGTATTTTTTATTGGCTCAATTGCTTCTTTATAGTTTGCACAATTTGCTCGATTGTTTTGAATTGCAAAATAGACATTGCTTTTCTTGATGCAGGTTGAGTGATTCATCAAGAGAGGGGTCTAAGAAAATCTTCTGGTATCGTAAATAAAGTCTGATAATGATCAATCACCTAGGCTCCGGTTGATGGTGGATGGCTTTTTCCCAGGTGCATAGCAGCAAATACTTATTTGTCATTGTAATTATTGTGTTTTTCACCTCAAATGGGAGAACACAGTTTGGCGTTTCTTCAGTCAGCGGGCTACTCTTTTCGGACCAACATACTTGTTTTGTTCTTTGGTCGAGACATTTCATTATTATATGAATTGTACTGCTGGGTTGAGTAAGCTGTTATTTATTATTTCAAAACACAATTCATTTAGTGCCTTATGAAAGCTTTGGAATTGCTTTATTAGTACTCATTAGAGGTCTCTGGTTTCGAGTACAGACTCAATAGAGATTTTTTTTTTTTTTTTTTTTTTTTTTGTAAGCCTAACGGTGATACCATATATAGACTTTACATGAGCAAAGATCAAAATGGGAAAACCAAAAGCCCATCTGGTGAATTCTTTCTTGTTTCATATTTCCTTTTAAGGTTTGAATCACCAGGTTTGAGAATTCAGAGTGGATAAGGTCATAAGGAATCCTCTATACTCAATTCTTATGGTACAATGGTGTAAAAACCCAAAAAGATCATTTCAGTTTGTTGATAGGAAAGGTCAAATCTCTGTGTAATTATGTTGGATTGCTTCTTGTCAAATTTATCGATGAAGATTTGGTTCATGTTTCAAGGTTTACAATTTAGTAGACCAGATCATGTTGACATTTTGATATTTGAAGCTTTAAAATCCTTAAGAAATGGGCAGGATGAAGAATTGATCGACGGAACTTGGATTATCACGTCTCGGATTTTGTGTCGAAGTAAGGTTCATATGCTAGATGACTATATCACTCATATGAAATTAAAGAAATAAAAAATAAATAAAAAAAAAAGGATTGGACTATGGAATCTGCCTTTCACTTCAGTGGTCTCAAGCGTACCAGAATTTACTAATTGTTGCATGAAATGAGTGGATGGGGATAAGGGTGAGCAATTGAGTTGGATAAGCTAGCATACAGAAATTGTTGAAAGGTTTAGAGGCTATTGCAAGCGATATTCACTTTCAAGATTCAACTAGCTTACGCCTACTTGATTACTCTCGAAATTGTTCTTCAGAGAACCAAAGAACGAGAGGAGGTCCAATGTTATGATCCTTCATATATGTGTATTTAGGAGTTTTTGAAAAAACACTAGACCATCACTACTAAAGGTTATCCCACTATTCATTCAACAACTCAAAATAGCTCAAAACTCTTCCCTCCTTTATGGGCTTATCATAAGTTTCAACTTTGGTATTGTCGTCAATAAGATGTCAATTTTTTTTTATTAGTTTTACTCACGATTGATCACATCATATGACCAATTGAACAACAAAAGAAATTTTTAAAAATTGACACTTAAAATTCAATGTGAAATAACTATTACCCCCTTTGTTCAGTTTAAGTTGATATATTCTAATTAAGGTGTTATTATGATTAAGGAGGTTAATAATAAAAATATTGACTATTATATTTTTGCACTTTTCTCTTGATAAAAGACAATATAGGAGAGTGATGACACTGCAGAAGTTGCAATACAGGAGGAGGTGACACTTAGGTTAGAGTGAGGAAGAATTTGCATTTTTAAATTTTTTTTTTAAACTTTAAAGTCTGTTGTGTGTAAATTTTACTATATTTCACTTTATGAAGCAATCATGTGTCTACACGTGATTAAAATTATTAAAAGATTAACACCTCCATGACAAAAGCATCAAAGTTGTAACTTATTACTAGTCCGAAACGAATTTTGTGTCATTTTGAGTTGAAAGGAGAGTGAGACAATTGTTAATTTTATGGCCAAATTTAAAATCAACCGCTTTTATTTTTCATGTTAACTAGTTGAAACTACGCGCGTGTGCACATGAGATTTTATGGGTAAAAATAATAAAAAAACATATTTATTAGGGTCTCAGTTGGAGAAATTAAAAACATACATATATAATAGGACAAAAAGTATTTGAATAAAAAAAAAAAGAGGAAGACAAAAAAAAATGTATAATAGAGTAGAAAAAATAAGAATGTAAAAAAGGTGGACAAGACAAAAAATCAAAGAAGAGAAAAAAAGGGGAAAAGTTAAAAAGAAAACAAAAGGAAAGAAAGAAGCAAAACAAAAGTGAAATTTGAAAAAAAAAAAAAAAAAAAAAAAAAAAAAAAAAACCCC